TAATTAAGGAAATTAGCACCAGGTGCCAGAGGTATCCGAAAGTGTTCTTTTTCAGATATCTCATTTAAGTTTTTTATACTGTGCTTCAGAATATATTTGAACTCATGAAATATGCTTTAAAAAAAACTGCCCTTCTGCTCCTTTTAGTATAACTTCAAATAGAACTAAGCAGTGACCTCGAAATATAGGAAACTGGGAGTTGATTTCTAATTTTGATCTCCACTGTGTAATTTACTATAAAATCAACACCATTTAGGACAATGGAAATTACAGGCGAGACACTGCAGGTGAATAGGGTAAAAAAAAATAAAAATAGTTATGGCCTGCCTTACCCAGCTGATTGATTATATTGATATTTGCAAATATTTTTTGTATTACACGTTTTCTAAAATGTTAGGTTTAAATATGCAAGTCATTATTTAATGAAATATGCGCTAATTTGCATACATTTCTAGTACAAATATCTAAACACTGGATTGTGTCAGTTTCAAAATTCTTGTTTTAATTTTTTGACATTAGAGTCAAAAGTTTTTACAGAGGGAATTCTGTCTCATTTTTGTCACTCCATAATTCAGAAAATGCTTAGAATGGACAGAAAACACTATTTTCACTATTTTTGGTGGGAATAAAATGTTGTATATAATCAAGCAAATTGTATATGAACAAATCCCTCTGTAAAAACCTTCAGAATATGGACAGGAATAAAAATGTAAAGTTTGGTGTGTGTAAGTGCTACTGAAGTGGAGATTTATGGCTCAGTATAGGAGAAAAAACTTATTTTGAGAAAACGGCCTTTAAAAATATGTATGTTAATTAAATGTATAAAGGTATAATTCATGAAAATAATGTAACGCTGCAAAAAAACAGAAAAAAAAAAAAAAAAAAAAAAAGGTTTTACAAATCCGGTCTGGTTTAAAATCGGCTTTATTTTCTTTATGCAAAATATAATTTCTGTTTTTCTTTTCTTTTCGCAATGAAATTTGACCTTGACGTATTTCTGTGAGATTCAACAATGTCCTCTAAGATAAAGAAGCTGATAAACAGCTTAATCCATGTGTATTCATAAAAAAAAGAAGTGTTCATGAAGAACATGAACTGTCATGATGAACATCCACAGCCAGGCAAGAGAGGTCACTGAGGCTGTCAAACCTTCCCATCTTTCAGTGACTGGATCTTTGCAGAGATGTGAAGGCATTTTTATCATGATCTGTCTTTCGGATGAGACGTTAAACAGAGGTCTTGACTCTCTGTGGTCATTAAAAATCCCATGGCACTTTCTCGTAAAGAGTAGGGGTGTAACCCCGGTGTCCTGGCCAAAACTGCCCCCCTGGCCTTTGTCAATCATGGCCTCCTAATAATCCCCAACCACTTGATTGGCTCTATGGCTCTCTCTCCTCTCTACCTGTAGCTGGTGTGTGGTGAGCGCACTGGTGCCGTTGTCCTGTGGCTGCCGTCGCATCATCCAAGTGGATGCTGCACACTGGTGGTGGTTGAGGAGAGACCCCCCTATATGATTGTAAAGCGCTTTGGGTGTACAACAATACACAATAAAGCGCTATATTAGTGCATCATTCATCAAATATCTCATGCAAACACTCTTTTCCTCTGAATGTTGCTCGGCAACCAGAAGCTTGTTGAGCTGAGTTTCTCTGGCGATAGAAATCGCAGAGGTCGACTCATTTTCATGCGTTTCTCTCTGGGTTTAATGCATTGGTGTTATTTTTGGACAAAACGGTCACTGTAGTTTAACCGTTTTTAGCATATGTTGCACAACGCAGATCATTTCAGAGTACCAAGCGAAATTGAGTTTGGGCAGTTTGTTGTTTTTGTGGAGATTTGCACAGTAATTCAATTTATTATTATTAATTAATAGTACTTACTACGAATTACACTAACAAGAGTATGTAAATCTTGACATTCTCGACTTTTTCAGTGACTTTTTCAATGGTAATTATTATTAATTTATACTAACAATTGGAATGTTATAATAAAATGAAATTTATTAATAACAGTAATTCTTATTATGGTCCCAATGTGCATTTTCTGAAAGGGAAGCACGTAAATCTTGTTTTTCTTAATTGTTGTTGTTGTTATTATTATTATTATTATTATTATTATTATTATTAATTATGTTAAGAGTTGCACTGTTATAACAAAAATTAAATGATTAATAACAAATTAGTCTTTTTATTAAGCATCCAATGTGCATTTTCTGTGACTTTTTTCAATGCATAGTATTTTATATGTTGTTTTTAATAGGTGTAATTATAAATTATTATTAATTTGACTAACAATTGGAATATTATAATATTTAATGATTAATTATAATTGTATCATTTTTATGAAGTGCACAGTAAGTCTTGACATTTTTATTTTTGCAATTCACAGAAATGTAATATTATCTTATTAATAGTAATTATTATTCATTATACTAACAATTGTTATAAAAAGTTATAATATAAGAAATTGTTATAAAAAGTCATAATACAATTTTATTATTTAAAAAAATTATTCTTTTTTTATTAAGCACCCAATTAGTGGGCTTTCTGAAAGTGAAGCATGCAAATCTTATAAAATTGTTATTTTTTTCAGTGCACAGTAATTTAAATAATTATTTTAATGAAAAGTAATTATTATTCATTATACTAACAATCAGAATATGTTATAATAATGTTAAATGATTAAAGGGGTCATATGATGCGATTTCAAGTTTTCCTTTCTCTTTGGAGTGTTACAAGCTGTTCGTGAATAGATAAGATCCCTGAAGTTGCAAAGACTAAAGTCTCAAAACCAGAGATGTTCTTTATCAAAGTTAAGACTCTGCCACGCTCCCCCCTAAAACGGCTCGTTCTAACACGCCCCCACATATCTACCTCACTATGTGGAAATATTTGCATAATGCCGCCCAAATGTTCACGCAAAGAAAGAAGGCGTGGTTTCAGTAACCGCAGTTAGTGTTGAAGCAGCATGTCAGGGAGACGCTGTTTGTTTCTAGACGAAAGCAAAAGCACTTTATTTGGCCTTCCAGAAGTAGATGCATTTAGGAATCTTTAAGATTACTTACAACAGAACAGCAATGCATTTTATGGACGACCGTTTCGTGAGCCTAGGAGAGGAGGTAATTCTGACTTTGCTATGACAATCTGGCGCTTCTGAATCAGCTACTGTTTTGTTATTAGTTTAAGTATTTGCTATTGACAGTTCAAATGCTGAGTTTTGCGCATCGTGTGTGTGTGTGTGTGTATGTGTGTGTGCGAGCGAGCGCGAGAGAGAGACACATCACAGTAGTCAGCTGTCTTAACCGTGGCTTGTGTACTGCAAAAACATATTCATCACTGTGTCTGTCACGAGACTCTGTTCCCCTCGGGCTCTGTCTTTACATTTATTTTGAAAGATGAAGCTCGCGATCATGGTAAGTGGCGTTACATTTCTCAGCCAATCACAATGCACTGGGTCAGCTGGCCATTCAGAGCAGACTGCGCTTGTCAAAGGAGGGGGCTTTGTAGAAAACGAAGCGTTTGAGAGAGGCGGGGCATAGAGGACCTACAATAATGTACAGTATTTGAAAAAGAATGTGTTTTTTGAACATTAAAGCATGTCAACATATTCTGTTACACCAAATACACAAAATAATGATCTTTAAAAAAGCATCCCCTTTAATAACAATTTAATATTTTCCTTTTTATGAACATTAAATGTGTAAATCTTGTGCATCACATGGGTTTATTCGTGGTTTGACCTCAGTGGTCTGTGAATGACCTCTGTCAGATGGAAATTATGCGGATACATATACATATGGGCACATATAGATTCCTCATCACACTCAATCTGATCCCCAGAGGTCAGTACAATCATTAAATACACACAATATGCTCACCCTGATAAGACGTCATTATCTGGGAACAGGAAGTTACATGCAGTTAAACAGACAATAGACATCCTACTGTAATCTACTCACAAGAGAGCTGTTGTTATTTTCCATTCCATTTGCAAGCCAACAGACATGACACATGCCACAATATTCACTTTAGATTAAAAATAGTGACTTTTTGTGTCAGAACATTGCTTTTGTTTTGTTTCCTCCCTAAATTATTTTCTGTTCTATATTCTGTTTCACATAATTTAAACATACAGGTGCATCTCAATAAATTAGAATGTCGTGGAAAAGTTCATTTATTTCAGTAATTCAACTCAAATTGTGAAACTCGTGTATTAAATAAATTCAATGCACACAGACTGAAGTAGTTTAAGTCGTTGGTTCTTTTAATTGTGATGATTTTGGCTCACATTTCACATTTTGACAGGTGCATGAAGTTCATGCTCTGCAGACAAAACAAAACCCAAATGAACCAAAACACCTGCATTTAAACCAAAACTAAAGCCCGCTTCAAAGAATAACTAGAAAGTCCAGTGCATTTCTTTTGCTTTTTCTATTTAAACCACTGTTATTAATTAAAATAAAGCTTAAATAAAATAATATATAAATATCAGATGAAAAACCTAAACTTTACTTTATAAGAAAATAAATGTTTAAACTAAAACTATTAAAAATAGGTTTTGTTAATTAAAATAAAGCTAAAGTAGAAATAAAATGTAAAAAAACATTTTAAGATTAGAAATGTTTAAAATGAAATATTAAAAATATGCCTTTACCATTTTATTCATTTTTATTTTGTGAAATTTCATTTTATTTCATTAAAAGTTTTTATGGCTTTATGTCCTTTTATTTTCTATTTCTGTATTGTCTTTTAATTTATTTTATTCCCTTTTATTATCATGCCTTTTATTTTTATTTATGCATTATTATTATTATTATTTTATTTTTTTATTTTATTTTTTTCTAAATTATTAAACCAAATTGCATTGCATTCTAAACGTTTTCTTTTTCCCCTTTTGAGAATTATGATCATTACTGTTTTGTTTTAAAAATCTTAAAAGGACAGTCATGCATGTTGTTGAACTGATCAGTAATGATCCATATAAAAATTTATTTTTTTCTGGCACAGGGGAAAAGAAACAACAGTCGAAGAAAGAAAAAATAAAGGAGCGCAGGGAAAGATGGCTTAACAGTGAGTATTTGTTCACCTTCTCTTCTTTCCTTTCCCGCAAAGAAAAACTCTAATATCATCAACTGTCCGGAGAACACAATTCCGAAACGCTCATGTGAGGCTATTTCTTTCATCGTGAACTGATCTGTGATTCTCTCATGGGCCGACGGGAATTTCAGAGATGGATATGGCAGGATCATTAACGCCACACCCCAATTCTGACGCCTGTAATCGCTCCGGCCGATCAATGCGGCGTGTAACACAAGCTCCGTCCAAGGTGATTATAATTAGGATCTAATGGGGCTTACGGCTCCAGCTGAAACCCAAGCCTCAGACTGCATGTCGCACTGTCAGGAAATTAAAAAGGAGGAGGGTTAAGATGTTGATGGATTCATAAAATGCATAAAACCTTCAAGGTCTTAACAAATGACACATATACAGATATGCGGTGGTAAAAAGATCATAACGGCAGTAGAAACCCCCCCAAAATGGCCACTTGTGAGAAAATGACATTTCTTTGTGTTTGCAAAAAGACGTAGTGCTTCTGTCAAAGAAGTGCTTCTGTGTCTGTTTTTTTCTTCCCTACATGTACTTTGTTGTTTTTGGACTGAAGCTGCTGGTGTGTCCTGCTTTCTGTCTCAGAGCTTTGGTTTGGTTTTAGATGGCCGGGTGACATCAGTCCGTTCCTGCAGGTTTCTGTCTTTGACCTGGACAGGAAGTCATACTGGATATTGGCCTACTAGAATGAACTGATCCTTTTAAACTGACTTTTTAATTTGTTTAATTATGTGTGTGACCTACTGTAACTTTACTGTGATAAGTGGCATTTTAGACATTGTTTAAAACACATTTATTCTTTGCCAAGATTAAATGGAGGTATGTATTTTTATGTATAGGGTTAGGTATATAGTTATGGGTTATGTATTTACTTATGTAATTATACACTTTTTTGTTTTTATTTGATGCTTTATGTATTTTTGCCATATGTTATACATTTTATTTTATAAATTAATATTTTTATGCTTTTGCACCTTTTTAATATATACCCTTTTGTTTTACACATTTTTATCTTATGTATTTATGCTTTTGTTTTGTTTTTTATTCATTTTAATGATTTTTTTATTTAAAAGACTTCTTATTTTTCCAAATTGTTTATACATTTTTTGTTTATATTTTATGCTTTTTAAATTCCATCATGGCATTGTATGCTATATATTTTATTATATGAATTATATATTAATTTGTGTTTTAGGTTTTATGCTTTTTATTTTATGCCATTTTGTAGCTTTTTGATGCCTTTTTATTTAATGACGTTTTATTTTATGCATTTTATTTTATTTGAATGTACTTTATTTTTATGCCTTTTTAATTTATACCTTTTTATTTATTTTAATGCATGCTTTATTTTTTTTTACACTTTTTTATTTTATTTTATACAACTAAAAAAAATGTATTTAATGCCTTTATGTATATATATATATATATATGTGTGTGTGTGTATGTATATATATATATATATATATGTGTGTGTGTGTGTGTGTATGTATATATATATATATATATATATTTTTTTTTTTTTATAATTATTATTATTATTTTTGTTTACATTTAATTTTTCAATTTTTATTGTATGCGTTATTAAATTCCTTGTTTGTTGTTTTGTTTTATACCTCTTATTTTGTGAATTCTCTTTTTTTTTTGCAATTTAATGCCTTTATTTTTTTTCAAAAAAAATTTTTTCATCATTTTATTTTCTTCCTTTTCATGCCTTTTGATGATAATGACAACTTCACAACTTGTGTTATCCACATCCGTGCAACAGTTCAGTTAGCATGCGTGAATTTGAATAAATATGTAAATGTTTGTCTACTGCTCGTTGCTACCAGAAAACTTCACTTTTTCATATGTAGTTTGTTTGTCTCTCTGTCATCTCCAGAAATCAGTGCGATCAAACTGGCGCGTGAGCAGCAGGTGGCGCAGGCGCGGAGGAAGGCCACGCCCGTGGTGGGCGACATGAGACCGCTGGCCGACGCACTTCCTGAACTCTCCCAGCTCCTCCCGCCTCTCACACAGTGGAAAAACAAAGCGTAAGCCCTCACTTTTCTCATTTCGACAAGCCAAGTACATTGGTTATGTATGCTGGGATATCCTCTGCGATAACTGATGCATATTTGTGTATTTTCTGGCATGAATTACTGTAGTGCCTTGAAACAACACATCGTACAAACGGATTTCATTCAGCACCCGTTTCTCTTTTTTGTATTAATTTTCTGCAATCCAGGGTTCATATTTTTCTCTTTCTGCCCTTGAGTTCTATACATTCACTTAATATTTAATATAATTAAACAATTTTTTTAATAAAATGGTAAAGCCAAAACATGACATCTCATTTTGTTTAACATATTAATTCTGTATCAGCTCAGGATTAATGCCTACTATCAGTATTAACATTTGCAATTTTTACATATTGAAAAGTCATGTATATTAATACCATTTTTAAAAGTGGTTTAAAAAAACAAACCACTGGAAAAGTTATGAAAACACATTGGTCAGGTGTGTGAAATCATGTAAATAAACAAGATATTTATATATGGAAAAGCCATCTATATAAACATGATTTAAAATATTTTTGGAAAAAAATTTAATCTGCTAGATTTTATTTAATTTTTTTGTGATTTGTTTTTTGTGCATTTTTGTCATTTTTATTAGTTTTTATTTATTTATTTTTATTATTAATTTTTATTTCAGTTTTAGTACATCAAGTTAAATGAAATGAAATAAATTAAATTAAATGAAAATTAGAAATGTTGTCTTGCCTATATATGTTGCCCAAAAATTTAAGGTTTTTTTATATTTTATTTTATTTCAGTTAAAGTTAATTTTCTTTCAAGCAATGAAAATGTTTTTATTTTAGTTAACTATAATAACCCTGGTGTTGAAATGTAAACCTTGAGCAGCGCACTAAGCATTTAATTATTTTATATTTTTGGCAATCCCCCGTAAACAGATTATAGTAAAAAAAAAAAAAAGTATATTTATATTGCACACACAGGCTCTAAATGTATTTCTTAAGAAATTAAGCATGCCACGTGTCGACAGCAGTCACGCTGTTTTTGTAGATTAATTGAATTTGGCTGTGCACCTGAAAATATGAAAGCCAAAATCTTTCCCACAACTGTTTAATTGCTTTGATCAAAAACACATTAGTCCGTTTGTTTTCTCCGTTTGTGTTTGTGGTGTTTTTTCTGTTAGTCATTTGATGTATGTTGTGAAGTCTTGTGTGAGTAATAAATAACACTTGTGTGAGGAAAGCCTGCGTCTGGAGAACTTCAAAGAGCATCTTCAAACATGCCTCTAAATCTCTGTATATAAAACACTTGAGAGATGTTTTTTTTTTTTTTAAGTCAATGATGATAAATATATATCGCTCTGTATGTAGCACAATTGTTTGTTCTTGTTTCTCACCACAGTTCGGTTAAGAAGAAACCAGAACCCACAAATTTCAGCCAGATGAACCCAGCCCAGAAACGAAAACTACTGTAAGATAATGGCTTCCCTTTCATTTCCACACTTTGCTAATGTTAATTTCACATCAGTATTTTATTTCATCAATCATTCAGCACCAGAGTTTTTATAAAAACCTGGTGGTTAATGGGAAAATCTCCCAAAAAAACCTGAATCACAAAAATCTCACCAAGAATATAAAGCCTATTTTTAGGGATATTATGACTTTTTTTTATTTATTTTTTTTACTTTTTTTATGCTTAATTATTGTCTTGACAATTAAGCATAATTTAAGAAGTTCCTCAAAAAATAAATAAATAACTATTTTAATTCGTAATGTGAGCGAATTAATACCTGTTTTTTATAACATCATATACATGCATAAGATGCAGCAATTCTTCAATTGTAAAGCATTAAAATAAAATTTGACAAAAGGATGACATTGACTGCAAATGTGGCTTTTTATTTAAATAATATATTTATTTTAAATGAAATTATTATTAATAATATAATAAAATAATAAATATTATTTATAATTATTAATATTTTTTAAGGCTTTGTTGTTATACATAATTGTATTTTAATTGTATAAAATGTATTGAATATTATTAATTATTTATTTAATTTATATTCAATTCAATTCAATTATTTAAATAAATAACCAAACCTATAATTGCCATGTAAGTCATTTTACTGAAATGTCAAAGTAAAAATCTTCTACGTCTTACAAACATCCCTAATTTTCTTTATACTAATAAAATATATAATAAATATAAAATATATTTAGGTAAAATGTAAATATTTACTTTCAAAGGTAAATTTAGCAGATCTGTTTGTTCACCATTGTAAGCTTTTTTGGTTTTGTGACATAACATTTTTATTGTGCACAGATATTTTAAGGAAGTCAAATGTCAAACGAATCGTTATTTTTGTCTGGTTCCAGCGAGACGGAAGCATCTCACTTCAGCGAAGCCATGAAAAATCCCATCTTCAAGACCAACCCTTTAGCTGCGATTGGTGAACACCTGCGAAAACGACTCAAACAGGAAGACGAACAGAGTTAATCGCCACTCTGCAGCGCCGCCCTGTTGGTAGACGTAAAGAACTGTATTTTATTATATGCTGGAACCTCAAAACAAGCAAATACAGTCAAACTGGTTTTATACTTCATAATAGTACATGAAAACAAAGAGGAGTCCCGAGATTTGCATAACTTGCTATATCTGACACCGCATTAACACTATGACGGAAACGGTTTATCGCAGTTTCTCTGTGTTATTTCGTAAATGAGATTGTGCAAAACGAATTGCTTTAATGATCATGTTACCAGATATTTAATGTGTTTTTGCTCTTGGTAAGATAAAAATAAATCCAGTGGAAAATGACTATGCATATGTTTTTTTATTTATTACCAGCACATGCTAAGAAAAGCTTGTCTTATAACGATAAAATGGAAAAAAAATCCTCACTATAAAATGACTCTACCTGCTGCATTCGTTCATTGAGTATCACAGACAAAAGCCTCTACTTAAAACGCGAGCTGATATATCAGACGTTTAGCATGTGCCTCTGTATTTCCATGGTAACTCGTTGCAAAAAGAAGGAAAGGGCGGCATAGCAGCAACACTTTTCAGAGATAAAGGTGAAATGGGAACCTGAACCCTGTCATCATTAACCTGACTTCTCTTAACGGCTTTACTCTAGGGGCGCTTGGCTGTCTGATATTGAGGAGGACCTTCTGTTGATTCTCATTTCTGCCAAACTGGATCCTCTTCACAACCCCCCATCAAATGCTCGGTTGCGTATAAACTCAGCATTATGGAATAGCAGAAGCGTATGTAATGTGTCATGCTTGTGATTAAGTGAGTGAGGAATGTGGGTGTAGATAGTAGATGTTCCTCACCCACACTAGATTCCTCTCAGCGTGTGCTCGTTGGTTTGTCCTAAATCCATTCATTATAGGGTATGATACTAGATGGTGAAATGTGTTCGATTTCAATGACAAGAAGTTAAAAGAAAAGCAACATTTCCATCTTAAAGGACAAACGTCCATCTATTATGCTCTTTTAAAAAGTCTTGAGTTTGTTTTGGGGGTGTACTAGAACATGCTCTCATGCTTGGTGGTTCGAAAAACGCATTATTTTTCACATAATTTACATTATTAAAATTCCTTTCTCCCCAGTCTGCCACAAACGGCTAGATTAGTTCCGGCTTTGATGAAGGTCCGCCTTCCGAAAAACAAAATGTGTTGTGATTGGTTAGCTGTCCCAGTGCGTTGTGATTGGCGAACAGCTTAGACGGTGTTTCAGTACTGCCACGCCCCTTGCTCCGTCTTTCAACAAAAGCTTTTGGCGAATCCGGCACTGTACTCCCTCATGTTGTGGGAGCTGTCCTCAATAAAATGCGCAGCACACAATAGCGAATTGGGGTTATAATGCTCAGGAACAGAGTTAAAAAATAAATTGCAACCACTGTTTCCTGACATCATCCACTTTCGGAAACCCAAACAAAGACGTTTGGGCATGGAGGGGAAAAAAACAGCGTTTCAGGTGGCCGCGCTCCGGACCAGAAGCGCAGCGTCACGTCGCGCGACATCTTTAAAATTCAAATACATTATTTTCTCTGAGTGTAGGCACACCGGCGGCTTCTGTCCGTGGCGCCCAGCTACGTCATGTTATACTTGTAAGAATTGTTCTAGACATGCCGAAAATTTGAGGCTACAGCACAGCAGCTCTTCTTCTTGGTTTTCTCTGACGCACTAACTCTGCAGCAGCACTTCTTCTTCGTCGTCTCGTCTCATGCGCTCACTCAACCAAGCGTTCTAACTACAACCTCGTCCCTCCCCACCCCCCAACTATTCCAATTTCTGTAGGCAGGAATTATTTGTAATGATATTCTGATGAGCCACTTTGTGATATCACAAAGCCCGGAAAACAAACGCTGTGGAGTGGACTTTGGACCACTTTGTGATATCACAAAGCCCGGAAACCAAACGCTGTAGTCCAAACGAGCCGTTCGTTGTAGTTCTTGAAAAGGGATAAAAAAATAAATAAAAAAAATCTCACTTTGGAGTGGACTTTGACTTTTTTATGCCCAAACATACACACTACACACTGACTGAAATAAAAAAATCTGCTCAGCAATAATTGTAGCCACATTTGCAATCGGTGTCAGAAATGGAGAAATATTCCTGGAATCTATATTTTAACTTCAGTACAATGTGTCATCCTTTTGTCAAATAAATTGTTGAATGCAATTGAATTAATTCTGCATCTAAATAATAATATTTACATTAAATAATATATAAAGTTACAAAAACATCACATACCTCTTGATTTTTAAAAATTATTTATGTATTTTATTATTTTAATTTCATGTTTGTTTTTTTAACCTCACTTTTTGTTTTTTATTATCTTATTTTATTTTGTGTTTCTATTGATTACTGTGGCATTTATTTCTGAACCTGGTCAGTATTCATTACAATATTCTTTCACATTTAAAGAGAGTCATGCTCAAGTTAACTTCATGTAACACATGAAGCTTCATATTATATATTTTAAGCATAAAATGAAAAAGTAAGTGTTGTATAGTGTACTATAACAAGATTCAAATGAACTGATTATGAGGTGAATTATGAATCTTGATGAATGCATTGTATTAGTGAATCTCTCAAAATCTGCCAAGAACATGACTGGGCAATAATATACACCCAAATCAAAAGGAAGAACTTATAAATATGAGCATAGAATATTATTTTTTCCCCTCGTTGTGACATTATTATTATTCATGAAAACGAAGCACAGTTTCTTGTGAATTCTCCCACTAGTGTTCATTGAAATAGCTTACTGTATTTTTTACGGATAAAATAGCTACTGTATTATAGGCTAGTAATAAGATTTCTGAGATAAAAATCGGCTGTTATATAAAGTCATATGCGTCGGTATATGCCCGCGGTCTTCCTCCTCTTCCTCCTCTTCATCCTTCAGCGGGTCGGACGCACGCGCACTGAATCCCCCCGCATATGAGTGAGTCACACACACACACACACACACACACACACACACACACACGGGGTCAGTAACCACGAAAAGCCTTCGTTCATTGGTCTTTATCAACAGGCTCAAATTTAGGAATTATTTATATATATAAATAAAAATATTTATTTTTCTATAAAATTCTATTTATTCATTCATTGAAATGCAAAATAATCCAGCGATGGTTGAGCATCTCTTTTAGACGATCATTTAGTCAGACACTATTTTTAAGTATGCAATATTATTAGTTAAATTCCAATTTTGCTTAAAAATATATGTATCCCGATGGAACTGTGAAAACTGTAACATGTGAGTGCATACTGTAACAGAACAGAAGCATGAATAATCATTGTGGGGAGAGAGACCGATGTGATTTGTCTATGAAAGGCACTAAAATATCCATAAGTATAATTGTGATGTGTGTGAAAGTAAAATATATTACACGTTATACATATATAATCGAATTATACTCCGTATAAATGAAACCATACCTCCGTCTCTCTGACCAATCAGCGCTAGAATTTGGCCCGTCAAGCTCTGATGCGCCAATCAAACGACAGAGAGTAAAGCGCCCGCCCACCCTCTGGCCAATCAGGTGTCCGCATCGGTTAGTACTCCGTTACATCACTGCGCTCTTATCGCAGATGCAAACGCGCAGAATTAAAAGACTCGCGGTGTGGAATGCAGTGATGCTCCGCGTGCGTTAATTCAACGGGTGTCGAGAAAAGCTGCACGCCCGCCTTGTAACAGATTCTGTTCAGCATTTATCTTTCCTTTGGCATTTGCCTTTGATTTCGGGTTGTTCATTTCGGATGCTTTTTGTTCACCAGGATTAATCTCATCCCAGCATATCAACCCAGCATCACACTGTGAGTAATATTCACATTTATTCACAGACACATTGATATATGCAATGCTTTTAATTTACATTATCGTGCATTTTACCAATACTCTAAGATCCCTGTATCAAATCAAAGGATGAATGTTAATCAGTGGTCTGTTATCTACAGTTCAGCATCCAGTGGTCCACGAGCTTCAGTCATGATTTATGCTCATATACAGATAGCCTATGTGGTTGATTATGTTTTGTGTTATTCAAACTACTAACCAGACAAACTGACCTAAGTTGCAACCAAATGTACGACTCAAGTCAAAGGAGCCTCTGTCCCAACTGCTTTTGTCTCTCATGAGGGCCAGCAGTTGGTTTCTGTGCACTGTTATGGACAATTATTATTGTTATGATGATTATTATTATTATTTTACATATATATCTGAGATCATACATGCCGATGTTTTAAGTTATGGTGTTGGCTATTTTAAATAATACATAATAAGTAACCACGAAAAGCCTTCGTTCATTGGTCTTTATCAACAGGCTCAAATTTAGGAATTATTTATATATATAAATAAAAATATTTATTTTTCTATAAAATTCTATTTATTCATTCATTGAAATGCAAAATAATCCAGCGATGGTTGAGCATCTCTTTTAGACGATCATTTAGTCAGACACTATTTTTAAGTATGCAATATTATTAGTTAAATTCCAATTTTGCTTAAAAATATATGTATCCCGATGGAACTGTGAAAACTGTAACATGTGAGTGCATACTGTAACAGAACAGAAGCATGAATAATCATTGTGGGGAGAGAGACCGATGTGATTTGTCTATGAAAGGCACTAAAATATCCTTAAGTATAATTGTGATGTGTGTGAAAGTAAAATATATTACACGTTATACATATATAATCTAATTATACTCCGTATAAATGAAACCATACCTCCGTCTCTCTGACCAATCAGCGCTAGAATTGGGCCCGTCAAGCTCTGATGCGCCAATCAAACGACAGAGAGTAAAGCGCCCGCCCACCCTCTGGCCAATCAGGTGTCCGCATCGGTTAGTACTCCGTTACATCACTGCGCTCTTATCGCAGATGCAAACGCGCAGAATTAAAAGACTCGCGGTGTGGAATGCAGTGATGCTCCGCGTGCGTTAATTCAACGGGTGTCGAGAAAAGCTGCACGCCCGCCTTGTAACAGATTCTGTTCAGCATTTATCTTTCCTTTGGCATTTGCCTTTGATTTCGGGTTGTTCATTTCGGATGCTTTTTGTTCACCAGGATTAATCTCACCCCAGCATATCAACCCAGCATCACACTGTGAGTAATATTCACATTTATTGACGGACACATTGATATATGCAATGCTTTTAATTTACATTATCGTGCGTTTTACCAATACTCTAAGATCCCTGTTTCAAATCAAAGGATGAATGTTAATCAGTGGTCTGTTATCTACAGTTCAGCATCCAGTGGTCCACGAGCTTCAGTCATGATT